TTGTCTAGTTTTGTCTAATAGTTTTGTCTTTTTTCAAGCTTTGACTTTAATAACTCATTTCTCCTTCACTTTCACTAATAGGCCAGGGTGAATTAATAATAAGTTATGGCAACAATATTGTAAGAGACAATGAAATGAGTTTTGTGCTGAGGATTAAAAGTAGGTCTCAGTAACGCAGGGCAAGTTTTGCAATGGATTTTAAATATTTGTCAGCACCCATTTGTGCAAAATAATCTGCAATGCACCCTGCCATAGCTGTCACACATCCGTTCAGCTTGCAGTTACATAAAGAGACATCTGTGAGGAAAAGGCAAGCAGCAGAGGAAGAGATGTGCCGCACGCAGTGAGTGCCACACCGACGGAGGGTGGCATTTCAGCTGCCGGATCTCAGCCTACTCTACCCGCTCCGAATTAGGGCAGCAACATGGCCTAGCCATCAGATGGCAACAACTCCAAATTACTTCCTGTCTCTGCCCCAGTGACCTAAAATGATCCACATAAAATACATTCAGTTTTAGCACAGTTCAAAGCAAGTGCAGACCTCGTTTCCCATGCTAGCGTGCTTTTTGATCGAACAGAGGGCCATCAGAAATCCTCCCCTTGAAAGGAAACTCTTTCTGGGAGCCAGCGCGTGGGGCAGCTCTCCCGCAGTGCGATGGCTGGGGAGCATCGCCTTCCCTGCGCATCACTGAGCAAAAACGCCTTCCTCCAGAAAACAAACGCATCGTTTCCTCAGAAGTGCAATGAAGATTGATTTTGACAATCTTCTGTATTTATTTGCATTCTTCTGTTTATATGGAGGAATTTTTAATTTCAGAGGCTTCTTTGGTTTATATTCTTTTCTATAAATACAAATAAAGGTCTTCATTTTAACAGAGGTTCAATGTAAAATTTAACTATTTTGTACTTGACAGGACTGTCTGCACCACACACAAACAAGAGAAAAAACTAAAATGCTATTTTACCTGCATTTCCTTCCTATTCCCACAATTGATTACAAAGGAGACAGCTACTACGTATTTTCTCTACCACATTGGCTCTTTTTTTACATTAGACAGTATTTGTTCTGCTTTAACAGACGTAGCAAGCAAAACCACTCATAAAACTGCCTTCCTGCCAGTGATGTCATAGTCTAACATAACCTCTGCTGGGAAAGATGCCCTTCACTTAGCTTTATAAAGGACATCTACAAGAACATGGACCATAAGTTTATTTTACATGCACACAGTCATGCATATGAGGATATGCACAGTGAAAATAATGTTGCAAATAACATTAACAGAAATATATTTAAAAGTTCACCAACTCCCTAAGGTCAATACCTACTTGAAAACTCAACTTGAAGTGAGAGGGGCAGAGACTTAGTGAACTATCACACAAGAAAAAGCGTGCTCCGACACGTTAACATAGAAGCGGTCCATGTGACAGAGCAATGCTGGACTGATTTGAGAGTGACAGCTGCTATCCAGCCACCAGAAGGAATTTATATTCTGCTAAGTAATACGTTGAGTAGGAACAAATTTCCATAAGATTAAAATTTTCAAATGTGTGTTCAAGCATAAAATAACTTGGATAAAATATTAATCCCACAGGTGAGAACTGCTTACTGAGCTCTTTTCATAGGGATTCACCTCTCTGCAGGTGGGCAACATCCATAAATCTATATAATGTTTGACTCATTTTTAGCCCCGACAGTGCCTAAGCTGGTGATTGGAATTCATGCAAATATCAAAGTAGAAAAGCATGCAGTTCACAGGGTGCATTACCAGCAGTTCCCACTTCCCTCTCTGCTTCACCGGGAAGACAGAATATTCCTGAGGTTGGTATGCAGCAGTCCAAAGATTATGTTACAGCGATATAAAATGACACAAGGTCGATTTTCACATGTCCATGGAAAGAAAACTTCAAGCCATGAACCTGGTCATCATAGTACAGTTGCAAAACTCTTGTGAAGAACGCGTTTTTAAAAGAAAAGAGGGATACTGCACAGCGCTGGACATTGTATTCAAGTAAGGCCAACTGGGTGGTTCACCTTCATTTTCACTTTATACCAACTCTAATGCATATTTATCTGAACCAGTAGCAGAACAGCTATCAAATATACAGTCAACTCCTCCCAACCTTTAGGGATAGAAAACACTAAATGGAGTGCCTTGAACGTGTGTAAGACTGCTGAAAGTGTGTAAGACACCACTTGTCGGAACAGGCTCATCACATACACATAGGTTCATCAATCTATATCCCACTTGGAATAATTGTCAGTGAGGGGAATGCTGCCTGTGCTGAGGCCAGCACGGAAGGACCGGCCTACATCTCAGTTACACACGCCTGCAGCTCTTGCATCAAGCAAACAGGAAGTTATTTATAGGAAGCTCTGCAAAGTGCAGATTGCTAAGGAGATCCCTTACACGACCATAATGCAATCAAACCAAAAGCTGTGGGGCGACATTCCTCTTCATTGCAGCGCGGTGCACAGGTGGTGCCTCGGTTCTAGGTGATTACTTCTAGCCTGTCGTGTAGTTTGAACACTTGAAGTCCGATATTAATTTTGAGATAGTGCCCACAGCCCAAATCAGTGACAGATTCCAGTATACCAGGGACTGAGTACATGCAGCTAAAAACCAGTATGTCAAACACTCAAAGATAAAATATGCATCCTCTCCAGGAATTACATTTTTGTAAAGCTTACTGTGAGTAAAAGTAAATATTTGGAAGTCAACATGCTGAAGACACTATTAGCTGTCTTCCAAATATCAAGTGTCCAAACAGTTGCCTGACTATCCTACAAGACACCATTTTACCCAGAGCAGCTCTCACATTTTACAACTTCAGACACCACTTCAGCCTCCCAGAACCACTGGACCTATTGCCACAGTTTCAGAGGCAAGACAAAGGTATTCAGAGCTAAAGCACGGAGTGAACTAGGACTTCCCAATAAAAGACAGACACCATCCCATTGCTATGAAAGCACCTGCCAAATCTAACAGCATTATGAGAAAGAAGGTATTCAAGTTATAATCAAACCCATTGTATGATGTAACATGCAACAGAGCAAACAAGGTGTATTGTTATCTGTAATCTTTTTTTTCTGCCACAGTAAGGTATTCCAGGCCACAGAAGTCACAAGTCATTGCTAAACTGAGACTGCAGACCGTACAACCTTACAGGTATTCAAAGAGACCAGAGCTGAAGGTTTAGGAGGGTACTACATCCGCAGAGAGAGAAGTGGCAAAAAAATCACAAAAGGAAGGTGGTAAAAAGCACTTCACTAAAACATGGGACTTTTTGCCTACAGATGACTTGCTAAAATGTCTAAGGAAGGTACCTAAGATAAAAATGGATTATCAACAGGCTCTGAATTGCTACACAGAGCTCAAAATCTCCCTGGAAAATTCCTATGGTGTACAGAATCAGGAAGGTCAAACTCAACTGAGCCAGAACCCACAAGACATTTTCCTGGTAACAAAAGAGAGAAAGAAGCAACCATAGCACTTGAGTAAAAATTCAGTTTTAATGGTGTGACAATATGCAGAGCAATAACTACACTTAAAGAAAAGGGACTGAAAATACTGTAAGGAAAAAAAGTCAGCAAGCAGTACAGCTATCAAATAAAGAACTATAAAACTCTTCTGATTAAGCTAAATAATTCCAGATTGAGAAAACCTGCTGGGAAAATGAGAAATGTAGTTATCACAATTGTGAAAATCATTCCTAACCAAGGAAATTATTTATGTATGAGGATCCCACCAGCTGAATTAACTCACTAGTAATGGCAAAATTTTACACATAGCCCTAAAAAAGTTGAAATCCAGAATGTCATCATTCCTCTAGACCCCCAACAGTCTAATTCTGGACAACTCAGAGGCAACTGCTCTCGGACTCACTATTTCGTTGATTTCTGCGTGGCACTCAGGCGCACTGTAGAAAGAGAACCCTCTGTAAACTGTCATTAACAAAAGCATGCAAGCTCAGATCCTGATACAACTGTTAACAGTTGAAAGTCTCCACCATCACAGCCAGTTGAAGACATGCTACTATACAAATACCTCAGGTACTCATGCTTTGTAAAATTCCAGACCTTCATTATATGTTTTCTTCTTCAACATGTTCAAAACAGATTGCTCCTAAGACCTCACAAATATTCCCTCACTCCAACACGCCCATACCTCCACTGCAGAGGAGACTGTTCCTCACTGGATAAAACGCAAGCTAAAGGAAAATAACTTGTCAGAATTACTGGCTTATTTCAATATATTGCGTTACTCGGTAGAGAACCGGCTGTTTCACATAACGTCATCTGTGCACCACCACCACCAAGGAAATTATTTATGTATGAGGATCCCACCAGCTGAATTAACTCACTAGTAATGGCAAAATTTTACACATAGCCCTAAAAAAGTTGAAATCCAGAATGTCATCATTCCTCTAGACCCCCAACAGTCTAATTCTGGACAACTCAGAGGCAACTGCTCTCAGACTCACTATTTTGTTGATTTCTGCGTGGCACTCAGGCACACTGTAGAAAGAGAACCCCCTGTAAACTGTCATTAACAAAAGCATGCAAGCTCAGATCCTGATACAACTGTTAACAGTTGAAAGTCTCCACCATCACAGCCAGTTGAAGACATGCTACTATACAAATACCTCAGGTACTGATGCTTTGTAAAATTCCAGACCTTCATCATATGTTTTCTTCAACATGTTCAAAACAGATTGCTCCTAAGACCTCACAAATATTCCCTCACTCCAACACGCCCATACCTCCACTGCAGAGGAGACTCTTTTATCCAGAGTTCCTCACTGGATAAAACGCAAGCTAAAGGAAAATAACTTGTCAGAATTACTGGCTTATTTCAATATATTGCGTTACTCGGTAGAGAACCGGCTGTTTCACATAACGTCATCTGTGCACCACCACCAGCTCTTCAGCAATAGTTTAGATGACAAAGGAGTACTCGGGCAAAAAAGAATTATAGTGAAGGAGATGGAGTTTTATTTACCTTGATGAGTCATGGTGACAGGTTCTTCACTGGATATATTATTGTAAATGACCACAGCTGTGGCATTATGTGAAGCTGCTCGCAGTATTTTCTCTCTAAACGTACAGTTTCCTCGCTGTAGTAGAGCAATCCACTGCTTGGTGTTGGGTGGAACTTGGAAACGTGTTCGAGGGTCACAGCCCAGGCGATCTGCAACTGAAATGGGAAATACATTTACACAGATGGCAATTTGTTCAAACAGGCAAGCAGAAAAAACTAACAAGTTTTGCTGAATTACTTCACTCTTACGCACTAGGAAGCCACTATCCTCTGGTTAACAGGGTCTAAAGATAACTGCATTCTTATGAAAAAAAAAAAGTCTTTAAAAAACCAAGTCTCACACATTGAAAGCTGTGACTATATGCCCAAATTAGGCTCACTAACACAAGCTATTTTTAACTCTAGTGCAGCTAGAACAATGAATTCACATTTGAATCAATACCTGCCTAGAGGCTGAAAGACATCAGAATATGGTTCATGTGCTATAGGCATTTACAAAACAGCTGTTTATCTCTCATTCTGGGGAGTATAACTTTTTTTGTTCTGATGAAGTCATAAATATCACTGCAGTGGGAAGTATAACCAAACAAAGGAGGTTGCAAAACCAAGATTTCAGAGTTATCTGCCTGTGCAGGCTACTGTAGAAAAGGTAGTATTAAAAGCCGATGCTGTAAAACCCCAGCAGCTCACATCACCCTTTTACCTACGCACATTTATCTGCAAGAAAGCGCATTCACATTCACTGAGAAACAAACCGTTTTGCAAACACAATGTCAGTGAAACAGTTAGTGATGGTATAAAGGGTGAGCAACAGAAATGGCAAATGCCCTATGTCTGAATCCAACAGCATGCAAAGCTCCTCTTTTGTCCTCTCTGATGCTGTAATGTACCCTGGAACCAGCCAAGCCCACACAGAGCTCTGGATAAAAGGCACAAAAGGCAACACACAAGATAACTTCACGGTACAGCAGCTGAAAATGATGAAAGACATTCCTGTTTACACAACTGGAAACACAGAGTTTAGTCTGATACACTGGTAATGTCATTCAAGGACTTTAGAAATTTAAGAGCCAACTGTAACTTACAGCACAAATGTATTTACTCTTTCAAACTCAAAACTTTCAAAAGAGTGTAAGAAACTTTGGCTACTAGAAACAGTTAGGATAAACATTGATTTTTCAAGA